GGACCCCCGGACTCGGGAAGGGACCCCCGGACTCGGGAAGGGACCCCCGGACTCGGGAAGGGACCCCGCACAAACAAGTCAACCAGAAAAGTCCAGTCTGTCTACCAGCGAAAGGCCCCTGGAAACTGGTAGAAGTCCCTCGGAGAGAAGGTCAGCCTGACAAGGATGAGAAGTGGGAGGTGCCCAGACTGGGGTCGGCGGGGAGGGCGGTAAACCAAATGCTTCCGCAGCCACATGGAGTGAGTGGCAGGAACCTCGCCGTGGAGTTACTCGAAGTGAGAACACGAGATCCCCGATGGATGCAGCGCGCCGGGTTGTCCGTCCCTTGCCAGCGACACTCTGCGTCTCATGGTGCTGCTCCGCCCCCTCGTCCTATCTGGGGACACACAAAGCATTTCCCGGTCAGGCTCCACAAGATGTAGACACCACGGTGATAAATGGCCAATGTCCACCAAGGACATACCTCGCCGTGGAGTTACTCGAAGTGAGAACACGAGATCCCCGATGGATGCAGCGCGCCGGGTTGTCCGTCCCTTGCCAGCGACACTCTGCGTCTCATGGTGCTGCTCCGCCCCCTCGTCCTATCTGGGGACACACAAAGCATTTCCCGGTCAGGCTCCACAAGATGTAGACACCACGGTGATAAATGGCCAATGTCCACCAAGGACAGGAGCATGGAAGGGATGTGGAGACGCTTCCAGATGTACTCCATGGCCAGCATTAGGACCCCGGGGTGATCTGGCTGCTGACAATGAGTGGAGCGCCCAGGTGCACAAACCTCTCCCTCCAGTGTGCTGGCAATGCGTTGCCTTTGGGGTGGAGAGTAACACTCCCTGCGTTGTCCCCTTGTAGGGATCAGGTTACTTGTCCGAGGGGAAAGTTCCCCGACAGAAAGCGGAGGGATCAATGACCCACATAGACCAATGACAGGCGCTGATCCAGCTGAAGCTTGCACGTTAGGCCCCTCAGAAGGGTCAAGACTGCGCGAGACCAGAAAGACGACCTTCAGGGCGGGGAGTCAGAATGTTCCAGAATGGGGGGGAGGGGAGGGGTGCCAGGAAGACGCACCAAGGTGGACATAAGGTCCGGCGCTCCAAGAAACAGATACCTCCTGAGGGGTCAGGTCCTTACCCTGCAGGCCAGGAGGTCCTTCAGGAGAGGGGTACCAAGTATCACACGGGGCCACAATCTGAGGATAGAGAGCTCCCATGGAAAGGAGTGCAATCCGTGAGGTACCGATCCCCAACGTAGAACAAGGGGTCCCAGGATGTGGGAGGGACCTGAGGAGAGACACTGCCGTCTACATTAGATGCCACATACGAGGGGGGACCCGAGCACCCAAATCTCAAGCAGGAAAATGACCA